AGGCAGCTTGGGGCGACCTTCAGGACCAGCCTGTGGGAGAGGGGCCCCGTGCAGCGCTGACTCACTGCCTGTATGATTTGGGGCATATCGCTTTCCCCTCTGCAAGCCTGTGTTTCCCTCTCTGTACCTCATCGGGCTTTTAGGATTAGTGCTGATCAGAGGCTCTTGGATTGCAACCCGTAGAAGTGACTGCTGCCTGATTAAGCAAAAGAGGCTGAAGCAGCAAGCACGGATGACATCAGGCGGGTAGAGGCTTTGACAACCTAAAGAGTATAGGCCCCGCTGGAAAAAAAATTGCATTAAAGAAAAAAATGTATACACTGTGCTGGCCAAACAAGGTGTGTGTACTGGCACCATCGGCCTCCGGGCCTCCAGTCTGCAGCCCCTCTCTACAGGAAAGAGCCCACGTTCCTGCATAGCACCAAGGCCCTGCCGGCGAGGGGAGCTCAAGCTCCAGGCTAGAAGCCCAATCCTGGGCAGTGGGGAAGGAGGAGATAGCAAGGCGCTAGGCAACTGAAACTGTCTGGTTCTTTCCCAAGTCTGCAGCCCTAGGACAGGGCCCAGGACAGAGGCACCTCAGAGTGCCCCAAACAGGTCTAAGGTAAGAGGTGGCTCAGAGACACTGGGTAGCCCATCAGATTACCCAGCTCACCAATGTCTGGTCCCATGGACACCTGGTCATGGGTTCCTGGTCATAGGCTCCATCAGGAGGTGAGGGTGGTAAGAGAGACAGGAAGCACCACCTTCGAGGTAGATGGTCATTCACCAGCTAAAACCTCTCAAGACTCAGAAACTTCTCCCTCAGCCCCAGAGTCACTAAGTCGCCACCAGGCCTAGCACTTCTCCATTTACAGCTTTCTAACAAACCACCTCCACCCACTTTCCCGCCTCCAGAACACTGAGTTCAGGCCTCGTGTCCTTACCAGCATGGCTGGCCGCTGAATTCCCCACTAGCTGTGCCTGAGTGATCCCAGGGAAGGGCCACATTCTGGTCATTTCTTGGTCTCAAGCTCCGGGCCTTGGCCATAGTAGATGCTTGGCAAGTGTTTAATAGTTGCTAATCATTAAGAATCATTACTATAGCCCTGGCCAGTGTGGCTCAGCAGTTGAGC